AAGCAGCGCCAACAGACTCAGCACCAAGGAAGTCAACAGCAGCAGCAGCAGCGTAGGAGGGAGCGAGGGGAGAGGGAGAACACCCCTCAAAGATGGGGGTGCGAGGAGCGCCACGAGCAGCACCGACAGCTACAATGCTCTTTTCGGCCGCGAGCAGGTGCTCCTCTAGGAGGGCGACTGTGAGCTCAGTGGGACAGCGAGCAAGGAAGTGGTCTCGAACTGAGCGGAGGGTGTCAGGGAGACGAGTGACTATAAAGTGGAGTGTCCAGTACAGTGGAGGGGGGTTCTTAGCGCAGAACTCGGTGGGAAGGGCGGCACGCAGGCGAGCATCACTAGTGCGAAGGTGGGTGATAAGATCGGCGACTGTAGTAAAGGTGGACAGATCGGGGAACAGGTACGGCAGCATGAGGCGGCTAAGCTCGGCTGTGGCAGGCGAGGAGTAGCGAGTGACGACAGCGTCGTACAGGGCCTGAGCGGATTTGCAGTCGCCAAAATGCTCTAGCTCAGCTAACGGCAGGTGACTGCGAATGGCTAGGCGAGCAGCTGCGTCACGAGTCTGCCAGTGGGAACGAACACTAAGCTCAGCTGTGGTAGGAGGGGCAGGCGCAGCACCAGACGCGTAGTCATAGAGCGACACATGCTCCTTGCTATCGCTCAGGAGGAACAGCTGCAGGTCATCTAGCCAAGCGGTGAACCGCACAGGGCGGCCCTCAGCATCGAACGACAGCACGCGGATGGAAGCCATAGCGACAGTGTGCACGGATAGAGAGCAGCGGGCGAGGCTGGCGCTACGGGCAGGCGGCGCTGCAAGCGGTCAGCGCGACGGGAGGGCGACGCTGCGAGTGGGCAGCGCGGCGGACGGGCCGGGAAGCGGGCAGCGCGGCGGGCAGGCGGCGCTGCAAGCGGGCAGCACGGCGGGCGGGCGACGCTGCGAGGCGGGCGGGCCGCGAAGCGGGCAGCGGGCGGGCGGGCGGGCTGCGAAGCGGGCAGCGGGGCGAGCGGGCTGCGATGCGGGCGGGCCGCGAAGTGGGCAGCTAGCGGGCGGGCGGGCTGCGAAGTGGGCGGGCCGCGAAGCGGGCAGCGGGGCGAGCGGGCTGCGAGGCGGGCGGGCCGCGAAGCGGGCAGCGAGCGGGCGGGCGGGCTGCGAAGTGGGCGGGCCGCGAAGCGGGCAGCGAGCGAGCGGGCTGCGAAATGAGCGGGCCGCGAAGCGGGCAGCGAGCGAGCGGGCCGCGAAGCGGGCAGCGAGCGGGCGGGCGGGCTGCGTAGTGAGCGGGCCGCGAAGCGGGCAGCGAGCGGGCGGGCGGGCTGCGAGCGGGCGGCTCGGCGAGGGGCGCGCGAGGGCGCTAGCAAGGGGCGCGCGAGGGCGCTAACGAAGGGGCGCGCGAGGGCGCTAACGAAGGGGCGCGCGAGGGCGCTAACGAGGGTGCGCGCGAGGGCGCTAACGAGGGGCGCGCGAGGGCGCTAACGTGGGCGCACGAGGGCGCTACGAGGCTAGGGCACGGGGTAGCGTGGTAACCGCATGCGAGCGGTGGTGGGCCCTTAAAAAAAAAACGGTCGGTAGGTCCTAGGGACCTCCTGCTCTGAATACCATGTCAGAATCACTAGGCAAGAATGATGGAACTAGCAGAAGTTTGGGTACAAATATGAAACCCTAGTTGGGGTTGTACCCCATATTGGCTACCCCACTACAGCCTACAAGCATAATACAGTTTAACAGTTCGTTGTGTGCAGCGGCATGTTTCTCACAGACCCATACGGCATTCGTCGTAAGGTCTATCTGATGACATACTCGTATGTCGGTGACTACCCAGAGCAGTGCAAAGTCGCCGGAACCAAGTCGGGGATCAAGACCAAGTACCCTTGTCCCAGATGTCTAGTACCAAAGGAGGAGCTCAACAACATGGACTACCCACTGCTGTTTCGGACGGAGGAACGTCAGAAAGAGCTCGTTGGCGAGATGGAGCACGCGCACACGAAGGAGGCACGAGAGGATCTCGAGCGAGATCACAGCACCCACTGCATCCATGTAAGCACCGTATAGTTTGCGAGCATTGTTGTTGTTGACATTGTGTTGTGATGTTTGTATGGAAGTTTTCGTCCCAATCTAATGCATTTCCTACTGCTTATCTGTGTGCAGAGCGCCCTGTGGGGTCAGTGATTTGCCGATAAGGATTTCGCTAATCCTTATCGGCAAATCACATCCGACTTCATACACATGTCGCTCTTAGGTGTGTACAAGCACATCTTGGAAGGTCTCAAGCTTAAGCTCAGCAACGAGACGTTGCAGAAGCTCGATGCTTCGCTGCGAACCATCACCCAGTACAGCAGACAGTCATTCTTCCGACTTCCGGCGCATACAGATGGTTATTTTAGCGGGCATGCCACTTTCAAGGCGTTTCATCATCAGGCGGTCATGCAGGTGTTGCCAGTGCTCCTGCTCATGGCCAATGTCGATAGCAAGACAATCCGTGCAGTGGAGTTGTTTTGCCATTGGCACTCCGAGGCGTGGCATCGGACGTACCACGATGACGCTTCCTTGAAGAACTTGGACGACATCACACGCACATGAGTAAACGTCCTTGTGGTTGCTTGTCGCCAGCGAATGCAAATGTTTGCTTCCAATTATTTTATGTCGCCTAAGTCATGGTCTCTTAACTCATGCACCTACTACTCTTTGTTTCTGTTCGTACGTGCAGGTTGGTGCCGATGCTCATGAATGAATTCAAGGGGGACCAGAAGTCGGAGTTCAACGTCCCTAAGATCCACGCGATGCTGCATGTCACCGACGACATCCGGCGTCGTGGCATACCGATTCACTACTGCACGGATGTCTACGAGCATGTGCACGTTGCCGTAATGAAGCGCCCGTACCGAGCGTCAAACAAGAGGAACTCCGAGGCATCGATCACACGGCGATGTCTCATTTCTGAGCTGCTCGAGAAGATGACCGTCGCCGTGGAGGAGGAGAGTGATAGTCAAGCACGAAGTGTTGCCCTACAACAGGTCCGCGATTACGTTGTTGCTGTTGTCCTTGATTTATTCGTCGTCGTTCGTCGTCGATGTCGTTATTCGCTATCGTTGTCAATGTCGTTGGCGTCATGGTTGTCGTTGGCATTGTCGTTCTCGTTATGGTTGTTGCTGTCGTCGTCGTTGTCGTTCTTGTTGTGGTCGTCAAGGTCGTCGTTGTCGTCGTTGTCGTTGTCGTTGTCGTCGTCATCGTCGTCGTCGCCGTCGTCGTCATCATCGTCTTTGTGATCGACGTCGTTGTTGTTGTCGATGTTGTTGTCGACGACGTCGACGTCGTCGTCGCTCTATTCGTCGTCCGTAGTCGTCATATCCTGGTTGTCGTTGTTGTTGTTGTCGCCAGCGTCGTCGCAGTTGTTATTGGATCGTCGTCGTTGTCGTCATCGTCGTCGTCGTCGACGTCGTCGATGTGGTTGTAGTTGTTGCCGTCGTCGTCGTCGTGGTAATTGTCGTTGTTGCCGTCGTCGTCGTCGTCATTGATATTGGTTTTTTTTTTTTTTTTTTTTTTTTTGTGCATTACTTGTCACCGACGATTTCCTTATTTTTCTTGCTGTTTGATCTACACATATCTTAATGGTAGTCGTTGACCGTGTTTGTTATGATGTGTCCTCCATCATGCATGTTGACTACATCTTATGTTGCATGAGCAGGCAATCGAGAGCGGACGTGCAACAGTGACTTGGGCGTCATCACGGATAGTGCTGGGGGACACAAGCGACAAGAACTTTAAGGCGTATAAGTCGAGCGTCCCGGGCGATTTCCGTCAGCTGCAAGGCAGCATCAAAGGATATCTTCAACAGGAGCATCCCGACAGGCGTACGAAGGTGCACTACCATCACGTGATCGAGCTGCACGGCGGTGTCGCTGTGCCGCCGGACGACGATTTCACGAGATATAGCAGATACCCACTGTATGCTCGCGCCACTCCAATGTTCTACGGGAAGCCCTGGTTTTCTGATGTCGACGTCGAGGGTAAGGACGACAACGACGTGATGCAGGTTTGGCGCGCGGAACTATTTTGCATCTTCACATTGCGGCGGACAGTGCAAACTGTGGGCGATGACGGCAATACTACAGAGGAGCAAATTTCAGAGGAGCTTGCATTCTGTCGTTACTATGCCACTACAGCACAATCTGCAACTACTGACATGAAGACGCTGAAGTGGTGGCCATCTAGCCGGGGTTACGGGGTGGTGCCGGTAGAGAGCATTCTGCGTGTGGTTCATATTGTGCCCAAAACAGCAGATCCGGCTCATCCCAATGCCAAGTTTGTGTGGAACCATTTCAGATGGTAGTATTTTTAGGGTATGGGTTTTGTAAATACAAATTAGCTGTAGATTATCAATTGTCTAGCACCTGTACATTTGTACTTTAATTCATTCACAATTACTGATTGTGAAATAGCTCATTTATATAAGTGCCATGCCTCATTGTAACTGAGTCAGGGACACTATTTCAATGAAATTAAAAGTGCGCGGTATAGGGAGTACGGCGTTATACCGGCTGTCTCAAAAACCTCGTTGGGGGCACGGGCGACAGCTCATCAAAGACTTGAACAACTGGGCCAACAACAGTCCTTGTTTTTTATTGCGTCTGATTGCCGTGTAACCACATGTGGTTACAGTGCCGTGTACAGCACAGCATCCTCTCCGTGTTGTCGTGCGCTACCGTGCAGTGCTGTACACGGCACTGCGTCCTCTCTCTCTCTCTCTATCTATCTCTCTCTCTCTCTCTCTCTCTCTCTCTCTCTCTCTCTCTCTCTCTCTCTCTCTCTCTCTCTCTCTCTCTCACACACACACACATCTCCACTCGCCTTTCCCCCTTCCTCTCCTCCCCTCCCTCCCTTTCCCCCTCCCCTCCCATCCCGCTCCTGTTGGCACTTGCCCCATTCCCTCCCCGTGCCCGGCATGGCGGCGAGCAGGTGGCGAGGGTGACGCCACGAGCAGCCATGGCGGACATAGTGTGTGTGGGCGCACATGCCGTCACCGACAAATTCTCAGGCATCGTCAGGTGCGCGCTTTGCTCTCTTGCCCAGGTGAGCGCTCTCTCATTGATTAATCAGCCGCTTTCTTTCTCTCAAGCCTGGTTTTTACATGTGTCTCGTGGAGTGTGCACATGGTGGGTGGCGTGGGTGGTGCGTGTGGTGCGGGTGGCAGGCAGCAGGATGTGAGGGCCACGGAGATAGACAAGGTGGATCTGCTCGCCTCCTTTCGCCCCGGCGACCTCATTCGAGCCCAAGTGGTACACTCAACCATGCCATTCTCACCCCGCGTACACTCACCCTGCCGTTCGCTTTAGTCCTCGTCCTCGCCATCTCTTCCGGTGCTCTAACCCGCCTTCATCGCCCGTCCTCTCATGGCACGTGCCGTGGCAGCTCTCATTGGGGGATTCCAGAGCCTACTTCCTCTCCACAGCCAAGAATGACTTGGGGGTCATTCTGGCCAAAGGGGTCGCAGGTCAGTGTTCCACTCCTCAACCCAGCTGTGCTATTCCGCCGTTTCCAAATTCAGTGTTTCCCCCACTTGCACCTGCCTTTCTTTTCCTGTGTTTGTGAATTTCCCGGTCTGACGGGAAGCACTGCATTTTCGTAACCATGCTGGACTGTTTTTCACAGGTGTACCCATGCTGCCCGTAAGTTGGCAAGAGATGCGATGTCCCATTACTGATCAAGTGGAGAATAGAAAAGTAGCTAAGGTTACATAAAAAAACTTGTACCATGTGGTTACAGTGCCGTGTACAGCACAGCATCCTCTCCGCGTTGTCGTGCGCTACCGTGCAGTGCTGTACACGGCACTGCGTCCTCTCTGCGCTGTCCGTGTACAGCACTGCACAGTGCGTTGTCTGCATCCTCTCTACGCTTCGGTGTACGTGACGAACCCCACCTCCCCCCCGATACCCTCCTCTGAATCCCCCAACCATCTTCCCCTTGCACACTCCCTTCCTCCCTCCCTTTCCCACTCATCTCCTCAGCCGTGGTCGCTGCTGCTCGAGCGTCGTGACTGCAATTTAGAATTTCAAATTTCGAGTTTTGAATTTCCTTCCTCCGCCCTGTAAGACCTTACCCACTATCGCCCCATGCCGAGCCTGCATAATCCCGCCCTACTGTATGTGGTTCGGTAGCGGTGTACTTCGAGCGAATGGCGGTGCGCTACTTCTTCCGATGTACCCTTTCTTTTTGTTTCGCGAACCGCTTCCGCTTTCTTTCGTTATTGTCATGGCCCCTGCCTTTATATATAGTTTTCTCTTGCGTATTGCTGGCTACACGTTTTCGTAGCCTCATATTGTTTCTCACCAACGATGCCGCGCGGCAATCCTAAAGGGCTAGTCCCTCCCTCTATGATGCATTTGCAGACTAGGCAACTGCCTTCCCGTGCCAGCAAAGATAACCACAAGTACATCTCCAGGAACGGCGCTTTGGGTACGTAGTCTATGTTGTCGCCGAGTGCACTTATATTATTAATTTGTAAGTACTTATCGTGTCAGTTTTGCCTTTCCTTTGTTCGCAGTTGAAGCTGACGATGAAACCGACACTGCTACGCCCGACCGCCGTCAAACCGGACCACGGTCAAATCAAGCTCGACGGAGACTGAGTGCCGGGTCAGGCCCTGGAACCCCGGGTGCGGGGGGGAAGGGTTCTGCGCCGCAGGCGGCGGCGAAATCCGCCCAGCCTTCTCCCGCCGAAGCTGCTCCCGGCGATACACCTGAAGGCGATGGTGAGCGTGGTCCCCGTGCTGCAGCGACTGTGGCTGCAAACGTGATGCAGCCGTCGCTACTGATGAAGCGGGTGATGCTGCTGGTGAGTCATTGTTTGCAGCTCGTACCAAGCTACACCCGCGACTTCATGTCATTAATTGTTCTTTTATTTCGGTTTCCTTCTCCAACAGGCAAAGCTGGAGATAGCCCGATGGAGTTGGCGATGACCCGGGCGCGTGGAAAGGCCTATGCCACTGAGGCTGTACGTTTTCGCGAGGAGGGAAGGCAGCAGTTGGAGGTGAATGATGAGCTTCAACTCAAGCTTGCCGACCAGGAAAAACAAGTCGAGGAACTTAAAGCTGAGCTTCAAAGCCGGGATTCAGACCTGAAGGACGCGCTTGCACTGCTGAAGCATCTGGCGCAGAAGCTCGCTGAGGATCAGCTTGGGAAACTGAATTGGCGGGTAAGGTGCAAGACTGTTTTTACTTAGAAAATCGTCAACGCACAGTCACTTATAGTGTTCTTGTCTGTGCTTCAGGCCCACATCAAAGAGGCATGCGACGATTTCCTCTTCAAGCAGGAGTCGTTGAACCTGTCACCCGATCCTGAACAGATGCTCGCTGCTTTGATCAGTAAGTGCATATCACATGGCTTATCCTCTCATACTGTTACTCTGACTGACTCGTTGTTGTAACCCATGTGCAGTGAAAGCCGGTCACACCGTGGCCTCTTCAGAAGGCTTGAAGCTCGCTGTAATGTTGAAGTCAAATGGCCTTTTGAAGCACGCGTGTGTCCGCTTCAACGACAGGATCGGTAAAATTTACCGATCCTGTCGCCTGCAAACTTTGAGCAACGAACCGTGCATTTTTTTGCAGAAAAAGCGGAATTTTAAGGGCGAGATTGTGTATGTGGTGCCGTTTGACTTACCCCAGCTTTGTCCGATTATGTGGAGCGCTACGCATCGCGTAAGTCGTTTGATTGAAATTTCTTTTTGGACATGGCATTTTTTAACTCTCTGATTTCGCACTTGCAGTGTTACTGGGCATCCCCTGGCATGTCGACAAGGAGGGGAAGCCGTTTTCCAGCCCTGCGTTTGTGAAGTGCGCGAGGCTGTGGGATTCGAGTGGCGACATGCCTGTTGCTCTGTTTCCAGTTCAGCTGCTTGTCATCCTTGCAGCGGTAAGCTCAAACACTTGCAATCTTTAGTTGTTAAACCATGTTTATCTTACACTGAATGTTTGCTTCTCTTGCAGGTGAGGTACAAGTTCCGCCATCCCAGCGCCACGAGGTCCCAGTTGGATCGGTCTGGAGATCCTGGTGCCCTTGCCAGGCAGGCACGTGTAGTGCAGCGCTGGATCAACAGCAGTGATGTCACTCGGAAGGACGGCTGCCTTGGGATTGGCAAGCTGTGCATTGTTGGCTGGAAGGAGATTCCAGAGGATGAGCTGGCGGCAGACGAGTACGGGGATGAGGGTCTGGATCTGACGAGCAACATTGATTCGCAGGAGCAGGATTATGATGAGGATGAGGAGCAGCCTGAGCTTTTTTAGTGGTAGTTCTGTATGGTTGCGGGATATGTAGATGGGGTGTAGATCTGTATGTGTGCATTATGCATTTGGAATAAAAATCCGTTTTCATTGTGCTTTAAACGAGCCTGCTACAATGAATTGAATACCAGTGGTATTTTGTGAAATTTTGTTTCCGCAATTCATTCCGTAACATTTGTTCGTTGAGTGCACTACAGTGTTTGTGCCTTATCAAAACAAATGTGTTCGCCATTCGTTATGGTCACTCCTCGTTACCATCCCGATATTAATTCTCAAATAACATATTATCTGTTTTGACTAGACAGGCGCTTAAAATTTAAAACGAGTAGACACGTTAAAACGAGAAAAAAGCGGACTGAAATCGGATGGCCCAACAGCCAATGGACGAAAAGGGACAAATGTTCACGCGCCAGTTGTCCTGCGCGTGTTCGCCCAAAACTCCCGAACCAGCTCGAAGGGTTCGGGAGAATTTCGCTGCACCAATAGATTGCTACTTGACAGATGTATCGGAAACCTGTCGCAAATCCGGGGAAAACGCCAGGAATCGAAAACTACACGCCAACGAATCGGTCCCGACTTGTTTCCCACACCCACAAATTCGCGATGTTCGCCTCCTCGCCAAAACACCCTCCGCGCTGCGTCGCTCCCTGGCCGTGTCACGTCCTCTCCGCCACCCCGCCTCACAATCGCCATGAAGTTCCCCCCATTCCTCCCGCGTCGCACCCCCCAATCCGCGTCTCCCTCCTCTCGTCCTCTCTCCCCTCTGTCGTCCGCTCTCATTCCCTTCCTCCCCGCTCTCATCCCCTTCCTCCCCGCTCTCATCCCTTCCTCCCCGCTCTCATCCCTTCCTCCCCGCTCTCATCCCTTCCTCCCCGCTCTCATCCCTTCCTCCCCGCTCTCATCCCTTCCTCCCCGCTCTCATCCCTTCCTCCCCGCTCTCATCCCTTCCTCCCCGCTCTCATCCCTTCCTCCCCGCTCTCATCCCTTCCTCCCCGCTCTCATCCCTTCCTCCCCGCTCTCATCCCCTTCCTCCCCGCTCTCATCCCTTCCTCCCCGCTCTCATCCCTTCCTCCCCGCTCTCATCCCTTCCTCCCCGCTCTCATCCCCTTCCTCCCCGCTCTCATCCCTTCCTCCCCGCTCTCATCCCTTCCTCCCCGCTCTCATCCCTTCCTCCCCGCTCTCATCCGTTCCACTCTCATCGTTTTCGGTACTTCCTTGCGAGCTCGAGTCTCAAACAGATGCGTCTCAAACGATTGCGACACCTCAATATTGCGTACGTTGGATGGCATCTCAAACGCAGATCGCTTGTACGCAACTGGAAACTCTCAATGACTGGGTAGCGTGGATCACGGACGGCCGATGTCGCTCGCATATTGCACGTCGCCAAGTCACACTGCCTCGTTCGCACGCAACAAGACACATGATGTACTGAGGGGAGATTCTGCCAAAGGTAAATCTGTGGGGTTTTGTGTAGTCTCAGATCCAACGCACCGGTTTTTGAAGATGGTCCACAAAGACGATAACCTCACTGTTGCTGCTCATGAGATGACGCCATTAAAACCACATCAGGTTACAAGTCCTGCATAACAGCATTTATTTCTCGCTAAGTCACTCCATGCCCAATGCACACACATTGCCAATGCAGAGCTAAGAAACATCCAGCTTCAGCTTCCATATTCTTGATTGAATGCATGCACAGAGGCCCCAACAGGATCCAGCAGGGCGTCAAGAAACGCTCGTTGGCAGCAGTCCTAGCAGCTCACAAGGATCCAGAGCCAGCCACGCCGCATTGTCCACATTTTCCCGGCTACATGGAGGCAGTAGCGCACCATTGCCTCACCGCGCGTGCTCCACCACTCGCATTAACGCCCCCTGTGCCGCTGGGGTCGCAGTGGCTTCTGAGTTGACTCAAAAGTCCACCACTCTCACCAACGCCCCCTGTGCCGCTGGGGTCGCAGCGGCTTTTGAGTTGACTCAAAAGTCCACCACTCGCACCAACGCCCCCTGTGCCGCTTGGGTGCTGGGGAGACCTGCGCCGCGATGGCTATGCCTCGGCAGACCCACACGGAGGGGAGGGGGGCGACCCACGTGCAGGCGAGGGAGAGAGGGGAGGTGGATGAGGTGGAGAAGGAGGAAGAGGAGGGCGTGGGGGAGGGAACGGAGGAGGAAGTGGAGGAGGGGGAGGTTGAGGAGGAAGGGGGCGAGAGGGAGATCTTGGCCAATCGGAGGGGTTGAGTGGGGTTGACTACGATGATGAGGTAGTTGATCTTGGTAAGATTGTTTCTGCAAAGGGGGGATAGGGGGGAGAAATACAGATAGGTTGGGAGGGGTTGACGATCAACATAGTGGTAGGGGTATTGGTGCGAAACTGGGGGCATGCTGCACAATAACGGGAGGGCTGAGGGGCGGGCTGAGGGGAGCAGCACACTAATGGTGGTGCTGTTCACGTGGAGGAGACAGGCATGGGGATACTAGAATCTCATGTGGACTCAGATGAAACACGCACTCGCGTGGAGACAGACAGGGTGGCGCCTCCCTATGCTGCTCCTCCCAGCGAGGCGGCTGCAGTGGGGTAGAGCACCGGCGTGAGCGCTGAGGGTTGATGAGAGGAGACAGAGAGGCGCTCACGTGGAGGAGACAGAGAGGCTCATGAGGAGGAGACAGAGAGGCACTCACGTGGACGAGACAGAGAGGCACTCAGGTGGAGGAGACAGAGAGGCACTCAGGTGGAGGAGACAGAGAGGCACTCAGGTGGAGGAGACAGAGAGGCACTCAGGTGGAGGAGACAGACAGGGTGGTGCCCCCTTTGGCTGCTCCGAGCAGCTGAGCGTCTGCTGTGGAGTTGAGCAGCGGCGTGAGGGGACGGGAGGGGACTGAGGGGCCGCTATTGCAATGATGTTGACCACTTTGGCAAGATGGTTACCACGAGGGCGATCACAAGATACGTTTGTTACGATTTGGACATGTGGCTTATCTCGGGTGCAATCGAGCTCCAAGTTGTTAGAATCTAGCAGCTCCAAGTGTGTTACCGCTAAGGTGACTACCCTAAATTGAACAATAGTGGTGGGAGCTGGCATGGTAGCCTTCATTATTGCAAATGATTGTGGCCAGTAAGAAGTACGTTACGGACCATGAGTTATGCTAGCTTCCCTATTATAAACAGGACCTTGTTTACATTTGAACAATGTACAACCATAAGTGTTCAAAGCTTACGGCGATCACAGATCGTCTTTGAAAGAGACCCTCACTCTCAGCACACCTGCTAGCTTCTTATCGTTCACATTCAACACACCTCCAGCCGAAACACCCGTTTTCTCTCCACCTTCCTCCCCATTCGTACAACCCACTCCATTCATGAGCTCTCAGTGGCTTGGAAAGATTCGGCCGAGTTGCCTCTTCGAGCACGGCAGGGGCACGGAGGTAGAGGTTGGATCCGTAGAACGAGACGGACGGGGCTTGCAAGCGGGCGGCGAAACGAGGATCGGCCCCAAAATAGCTGGTCGATGAACTGCAGGGAGGATCCAATGAGAAATTTAGAATGACAGGAACGTAAACAACGTGTGCTTGTTGCTAGAGAACGCAAAAGCTGGTCAATGAACTGCAGGGAAAATGCAAAGAGAATTTAGAACGAAAGCAAGTCCCTAAACGTGCCCTAGTTGCTGGACACGGCAACAGCTGGTCAATGAACTGCAGGGAGAATACGGTAGAATGAGATGACACGACAGCATGACAGGGAAGTAAAGAACGTGCCCTGGCTGCTCGTGGGCCTTGAGAGCATCACCTGCTGCAGAGAGCGAAAGCTGCCGCAGAGTGTAGCAGCAACAGGTACCGTGCTAGCTAGCACCCCAGATACCTACCTGGTGCAGAGTGCAAGAAGCCATGCCATGCACACGCCAAGTACCCACCTGCTGCAGAGTGGCTGTGGATGGAACAGTCATTGGGACGCCCGCGCTGCACACAAGACACTCGGGGTCCCTCTCATAGGCCACGGTGTGTGAGTAGACCCCCTGCGTGCCCACATACCTGTGGGGGGCACACATGTGGGGTTGGGACAAGGACGGGAAGAGGAAATTCTCGCATATCTGTTCAAGGCACTCGGGGTCCCTCTCATACGCCACTGTGTGTGAGTAGACTCCCTGTGTGCCCACATACCTGTGGGGGCCATACGTGTGGGGATTGGGTCAAGGACGTTTGAAATTCAAGAGTGCTATATATGATAAAGGGGTGCCAGCTCTGCACACAAGGCAAGCCACTCGGGGTCCCTCTCATAGGAGACGGTGTGGGAGTAGACCCCTTGTGTGCCCACATACCTGTGATGTGGGGTGGGTCCCACACAAGTGGGGATTGGGATAGGGACACGGGCGAGGGAAGTGCGGCATGTTTGTTCAAAGGTGCATGTGAGAGCGTTCGCTTACATCACATGCATGTTTGTTCAAAGGTGCATGTGAGAGCGTTCGCTTACATCACATGCATGTTTGTTCAAAGGTGCATGTGAGAGCGTTCGCTTACATCACATGCATGTTTGTTCAAAGGTGCATGTGAGAGCGTTCGCTTACATCACATGCATGTTTGTTCAAAGGTGCATGTGAGAGCGTTCGCTTACATCACATGCATGTTTGTTCAAAGGTGCATGTGAGAGCGTTCGCTTACATCACATGCATGTTTGTTCAAAGGTGCATGTGAGAGCGTTCGCTTACATCACATGCATGTTTGTTCAAAGGTGCATGTGAGAGCGTTCGCTTACATCACATGCATGTTTGTTCAAAGGTGCATGTGAGAGCGTTCGCTTACATCACATGCATGTTTGTTCAAAGGTGCATGTGAGAGCGTTCGCTTACATCACATGCATGTTTGTTCAAAGGTGCATGTGAGAGCGTTCGCTTACATCACATGCATGTTTGTTCAAAGGTGCATGTGAGAGCGTTCGCTTACATCACATGCATGTTTGTTCAAAGGTGCATGTGAGAGCGTTCGCTTACATCACATGCATGTTTGTTCAAAGGTGCATGTGAGAGCGTTCGCTTACATCACATGCATGTTTGTTCAAAGGTGCATGTGAGAGCGTTCGCTTACATCACATGCATGTTTGTTCAAAGGTGCATGTGAGAGCGTTCGCTTACATCACATGCATGTTTGTTCAAAGGTGCATGTGAGAGCGTTCGCTTACATCACATGCATGTTTGTTCAAAGGTGCATGTGAGAGCGTTCGCTTACATCACATGCATGTTTGTTCAAAGGTGCATGTGAGAGCGTTCGCTTACATCACATGCATGTTTGTTCAAAGGTGCATGTGAGAGCGTTCGCTTACATCACATGCATGTTTGTTCAAAGGTGCATGTGAGAGCGTTCGCTTACATCACATGCATGTTTGTTCAAAGGTGCATGTGAGAGCGTTCGCTTACATCACATGCATGTTTGTTCAAAGGTGCATGTGAGAGCGTTCGCTTACATCACATGCATGTTTGTTCAAAGGTGCATGTGAGAGCGTTCGCTTACATCACATGCATGTTTGTTCAAAGGTGCATGTGAGAGCGTTCGCTTACATCACATGCATGTTTGTTCAAAGGTGCATGTGAGAGCGTTCGCTTACATCACATGCATGTTTGTTCAAAGGTGCATGTGAGAGCGTTCGCTTACATCACATGCATGTTTGTTCAAAGGTGCATGTGAGAGCGTTCGCTTACATCACATGCATGTTTGTTCAAAGGTGCATGTGAGAGCGTTCGCTTACATCACATGCATGTTTGTTCAAAGGTGCATGTGAGAGCGTTCGCTTACATCACATGCATGTTTGTTCAAAGGTGCATGTGAGAGCGTTCGCTTACATCACATGCATGTTTGTTCAAAGGTGCATGTGAGAGCGTTCGCTTACATCACATGCATGTTTGTTCAAAGGTGCATGTGAGAGCGTTCGCTTACATCACATGCATGTTTGTTCAAAGGTGCATGTGAGAGCGTTCGCTTACATCACATGCATGTTTGTTCAAAGGTGCATGTGAGAGCGTTCGCTTACATCACATGCATGTTTGTTCAAAGGTGCATGTGAGAGCGTTCGCTTACATCACATGCATGTTTGTTCAAAGGTGCATGTGAGAGCGTTCGCTTACATCACATGCATGTTTGTTCAAAGGTGCATGTGAGAGCGTTCGCTTACATCACATGCATGTTTGTTCAAAGGTGCATGTGAGAGCGTTCGCTTACATCACATGCATGTTTGTTCAAAGGTGCATGTGAGAGCGTTCGCTTACATCACATGCATGTTTGTTCAAAGGTGCATGTGAGAGCGTTCGCTTACATCACATGCATGTTTGTTCAAAGGTGCATGTGAGAGCGTTCGCTTACATCACATGCATGTTTGTTCAAAGGTGCATGTGAGAGCGTTCGCTTACATCACATGCATGTTTGTTCAAAGGTGCATGTGAGAGCGTTCGCTTACATCACATGCATGTTTGTTCAAAGGTGCATGTGAGAGCGTTCGCTTACATCACATGCATGTTTGTTCAAAGGTGCATGTGAGAGCGTTCGCTTACATCACATGCATGTTTGTTCAAAGGTGCATGTGAGAGCGTTCGCTTACATCACATGCATGTTTGTTCAAAGGTGCATGTGAGAGCGTTCGCTTACATCACATGCATGTTTGTTCAAAGGTGCATGTGAGAGCGTTCGCTTACATCACATGCATGTTTGTTCAAAGGTGCATGTGAGAGCGTTCGCTTACATCACATGCATGTTTGTTCAAAGGTGCATGTGAGAGCGTTCGCTTACATCACATGCATGTTTGTTCAAAGGTGCATGTGAGAGCGTTCGCTTACATCACATGCATGTTTGTTCAAAGGTGCATGTGAGAGCGTTCGCTTACATCACATGCATGTTTGTTCAAAGGTGCATGTGAGAGCGTTCGCTTACATCACATGCATGTTTGTTCAAAGGTGCATGTGAGAGCGTTCGCTTACATCACATGCATGTTTGTTCAAAGGTGCATGTGAGAGCGTTCGCTTACATCACATGCATGTTTGTTCAAAGGTGCATGTGAGAGCGTTCGCTTACATCACATGCATGTTTGTTCAAAGGTGCATGTGAGAGCGTTCGCTTACATCACATGCATGTTTGTTCAAAGGTGCATGTGAGAGCGTTCGCTTACATCACATGCATGTTTGTTCAAAGGTGCATGTGAGAGCGTTCGCTTACATCACATGCATGTTTGTTCAAAGGTGCATGTGAGAGCGTTCGCTTACATCACATGCATGTTTGTTCAAAGGTGCATGTGAGAGCGTTCGCTTACATCACATGCATGTTTGTTCAAAGGTGCATGTGAGAGCGTTCGCTTACATCACATGCATGTTTGTTCAAAGGTGCATGTGAGAGCGTTCGCTTACATCACATGCATGTTTGTTCAAAGGTGCATGTGAGAGCGTTCGCTTACATCACATGCATGTTTGTTCAAAGGTGCATGTGAGAGCGTTCGCTTACATCACATGCATGTTTGTTCAAAGGTGCATGTGAGAGCGTTCGCTTACATCACATGCATGTTTGTTCAAAGGTGCATGTGAGAGCGTTCGCTTACATCACATGCATGTTTGTTCAAAGGTGCATGTGAGAGCGTTCGCTTACATCACATGCATGTTTGTTCAAAGGTGCATGTGAGAGCGTTCGCTTACATCACATGCATGTTTGTTCAAAGGTGCATGTGAGAGCGTTCGCTTACATCACATGCATGTTTGTTCAAAGGTGCATGTGAGAGCGTTCGCTTACATCACATGCATGTTTGTTCAAAGGTGCATGTGAGAGCGTTCGCTTACATCACATGCATGTTTGTTCAAAGGTGCATGTGAGAGCGTTCGCTTACATCACATGCATGTTTGTTCAAAGGTGCATGTGAGAGCGTTCGCTTACATCACATGCATGTTTGTTCAAAGGTGCATGTGAGAGCGTTCGCTTACATCACATGCATGTTTGTTCAAAGGTGCATGTGAGAGCGTTCGCTTACATCACATGCATGTTTGTTCAAAGGTGCATGTGAGAGCGTTCGCTTACATCACATGCATGTTTGTTCAAAGGTGCATGTGAGAGCGTTCGCTTACATCACATGCATGTTTGTTCAAAGGTGCATGTGAGAGCGTTCGCTTACATCACATGCATGTTTGTTCAAAGGTGCATGTGAGAGCGTTCGCTTACATCACATGCATGTTTGTTCAAAGGTGCATGTGAGAGCGTTCGCTTACATCACATGCATGTTTGTTCAAAGGTGCATGTGAGAGCGTTCGCTTACATCACATGCATGTTTGTTCAAAGGTGCATGTGAGAGCGTTCGCTTACATCACATGCATGTTTGTTCAAAGGTGCATGTGAGAGCGTTCGCTTACATCACATGCATGTTTGTTCAAAGGTGCATGTGAGAGCGTTCGCTTACATCACATGCATGTTTGTTCAAAGGTGCATGTGAGAGCGTTCGCTTACATCACATGCATGTTTGTTCAAAGGTGCATGTGAGAGCGTTCGCTTACATCACATGCATGTTTGTTCAAAGGTGCATGTGAGAGCGTTCGCTTACATCACATGCATGTTTGTTCAAAGGTGCATGTGAGAGCGTTCGCTTACATCACATGCATGTTTGTTCAAAGGTGCATGTGAGAGCGTTCGCTTACATCACATGCATGTTTGTTCAAAGGTGCATGTGAGAGCGTTCGCTTACATCACATGCATGTTTGTTCAAAGGTGCATGTGAGAGCGTTCGCTTACATCACATGCATGTTTGTTCAAAGGTGCATGTGAGAGCGTTCGCTTACATCACATGCATGTTTGTTCAAAGGTGCATGTGAGAGCGTTCGCTTACATCACATGCATGTTTGTTCAAAGGTGCATGTGAGAGCGTTCGCTTACATCACATGCATGTTTGTTCAAAGGTGCATGTGAGAGCGTTCGCTTACATCACATGCATGTTTGTTCAAAGGTGCATGTGAGAGCGTTCGCTTACATCACATGCATGTTTGTTCAAAGGTGCATGTGAGAGCGTTCGCTTACAT